TGTACTGGCAGCCAACCATTCTAGACAAGTGGTGTTCCGTGGCGGTCTCTGGATAGGCAGCGGTTTGTGTAGCGAGTCCGAACCCTCACCGAACCTCGTAAAAAGCTACTTTCACCGTCATGCTCAGCAAAAGTCCACATTACTGATACGGCACGCCGAGTTTTGTTTTTTTGCCTGGGATCTTTTGCTTTGCGGTTTGTGGCTACAGGAGTAAATGGTTCACACACTGGATATTCATACCATCCACAGCTTCAAAACCGGCGCTTCCAGGGGCCACGTCCATAACGTCTTTGCCGTTATTTTCTGAACTCGATGGAAGCGACGCTGTTACGTCGCGTAGCAATGTCTATTGGACCGGCGCACTGCTATTGTACTCGCTGCTTATTGGAGAGCTCCTTGTGTCTCGTTTAGCGTTTTCGTTCACATCACGTGTTATTGAATTGCTGTATCTCACATCGTCTGTACACTCTTCATCGCCATTGATTTTCATTGATGCACGCGTTTCAGACGGAGCGTTATGCATGAGTCCACCACCGTAGTATGCACTAGCCCCAGAATTGGCATCCCCACGAAGTGCGTCTTCAAAGCTGGTTCAAGCGTCGGTACCGCCGACGCTTGTCTGGTTGTGTAGATGCTTACTAAATGGTAACTGTGCCGCTGCGTGGGCAATTAGCTGAGTGGTCCCAGAGGGGATACCAAGTCCACAGTACCTGCTGGTTTAATGTTGGACATTTCGCTAAAGAGCACCTTAATGCGCAAGAATTCAGGACATCTCGCCTCCAATTTTTGCTCTATCGAGGTTATACCGTTTGCGACGTCCCTCTTCGTTAAACCCAGCCCAGCGCGATGTATACTGTCGTACAGCGTGCCCCAGAACTTCTTGATATTGGTCCGCCACCGACTCTGCATCTGGTCCCCTGTAAGTCGTTGAAGCTCCCGGCGAGTCGTCTTGCCGTGCACATAGTTGGCCATTTCCCTGGACGCCGAGCTCTTGGCCTGCTTTTGGTGGCCCTCTAACTTTCAATTTCTCATCAGTGCCGTATTGCACTGTAGTCGGCGTTGACCTCAACCCAGTCAACGAGAACGCAATAGTC